CTTCCCCATGTTTCTTTTAATCCTGGACGTTATGATTGTGTGTACAAATGCAGTCCTGTAGTCGAATTCTCTGCTCTGTAGCCGACTTCCCGCCCTGCTTTACGCACGGCAGCGAGAGCTGAGTTATTCTTCCTGTGTCTCGGTTGCATTTTCTCCGTGTTGGCTCAAATACGGGTGATTTAGGCTGTATGCTTCCTAGCAGTGAGACGAAGCTTTGTTAATGGTAGGCTGAGCTTTAGAGGTCTCCAGAGAAAGGGAAAGCATTAATGAAGTTTGACTTGTAAGCTGCAATACTTGGTTCTGTGTCTGAATCGCAGCAATGCAGCGAACACGAGGAGTTGTTAGTATCTCAGGATTTCCAGCTCGGGAATGTTTCTGGCACCTGGTCTTCATGAACACCTACAGCTGCTTACTGGTGCATCACGCATCATTCTGTTGCTCATCAGTAACTTTGCTGCTGCATCATTTCCCTGTTTTCTGTCCTTCTGTCAAAGTTAGTGACTTTGAGTGAGACCTGATCCAGGAGCAGGCTCTGGTTCATTTTTTTTTTTAATGGAGCAGAAGAACAGGGTTTCTAAGGCAGGAAGCCCTATATTCCTGATCCTCAGAGGAACAGGGTTTAAAATTATATTAACACAGGGAATAAGACTTCCTCTGCTTCTTTTGCCTATCTGCTTTTCAAACCAGTGTTCGTAGAGCACCTGATTTCTCAGTTAGTTCCAGTCCAGCTGCTATATAAACCCTGGGAGATGTTCCTTGCTTTGAAATCCCACAGCGGCAGGCAGTCGGGTGAGCAGTGACAGGAGGGGACCCGGTCCTTTCCCTGGGGTCACAGCACCAGACCCAGACAGCAAATGCCTCTCCAGCCTCTGTGTCTTCGCATCCAGCTGGGCAGAATCACTGAGCAAAGCCACAGACCGGGAATGTCAGACCTAGACCAGCCCATGGAGGTGGAAATGGGACAGATGAGGATGAAGGAGACCGAGGAGCCGCTGTGGCAGCTGCAACAGAGATGTGAGACTGATGAGAAATGGGGGAGCGGGCATGGCGGGGTGACATGTGGGACTCGGGCTGAGTGATTGTCTCCTCTCTAGAACCAACTGTCACGTTCACCCGGGATTGGGCTGATTTGGGGCTTTTCTGGGTTTCTCAGCACTTCAGCAGGAGTGATGCTCAGCAGGGCCACCCCCTCTGCCTCTGCAGCCTTACGGCACAGGTGAACACGGACACTGATGGCTCCTGCATCCGCCGGTGCCTGTACATCTCAGCCGTGGCTCTGGCTGCATTTCGGGTCCATCCATCAGGGGTTGGGGGTCCTGGCCCCCCCTTCATGTGATGCTCCGACCCATTCTCATCTGGGACCTGTTCCCCTGGTGCAGACTATTTTATTCATCCTTAAAGGATGGGAAGGATTTCAAATATCCTAATGGTACCCATGAGGGAGGTATCAGAAACGCCTTCCAGATCAGAAAAAAAAAAAACACTTTCAAAGGTCGATTCCATCAAAAATACCCCAGAAAACCACATCCAGAAAGGAGCTGCAAGTTCCTTTCTGACAATGTTTACATTCAGACATTTTATCGGTTAAAGATCTCCTCCTGTTCCAAAATCCAGCAGTTCATATCCACGTATGTACGGAACAACAGAAATTCTTTTTTGTCAAGACATTTGGAAAGCGAGCTTAAGAAGACAAGAGGATTAGTTTGCTGCTTTCTGCCTCTTTTGGTTTCTCGTGTGTCTCAACAGATTTGAAAAAGGTACTTTCTGGTGGGTGTTTCTCTCTCAGACCCATTGCGCTGGGTGAGCGGCACATCTACTGCACCCGCTTTTAAGCACTTCGTTAAGGCAATCTGCTGCGTCACTGGCCATCGCCTCCAGAATATGGCTGTGTTCTGGATTTTCCTGGATAACCAGGAAAAACAGCCTGGTTGCAACCGCCATATGAAAACCACCTTCCCTGGGGAAGCAGAGGATGGTATCTGCATGGGAGGCGGTGAATGTGGCTGCTCTGTGTATGGTGTCTATGAACTTTAATTAAAATATAGAGGAGTTTGGCTGCTACATTAAGTAGGGCCAGAAGTGGCTTTGGTCCTAAAACTGAAAATACCTGCTGAAAAGACTGCCAGTACCTAATAGCACGTGCGTGGTAATCCTCTGACAGAGAAAGAAGTCTCCTGCCTCCCCACGCTGGATGAGTTACCAATGTTCAGCTAATCCCACGTAAAGCCTCTGGGTGTAGCGGAGTCTCTCCCTCCATCGGCATCGTCTGGTGGATGAACCTACCTGGACTTTGGGGAGCTGCAGGGGCAAGAAACGACAGCTAAAACCCAACACGCCTCGGTTTGCCCAAGGAGCCAGAAATGGGAATTTTCTCTTTGATCCATCCCAGCAGAACTCACCTTTATTCAGGTGTTGGGGATATTTGACGACGGTACAAAACATCCCGGGGATTCCTGGGGGAGCAGGGCATTGAGGATCAGGATGTCATCTATGACGTTGACATGTTTGGAGCACCTCAAACATCCACTCCATGGCTCCGCTGTCCCAAAGGGAAACAGCCGCTCTTGTCACACAAAAGGACCATCAGCGAAAAGCGAAGGAGCTTGTCTCATTCTCAGCCTGTGGGACGTGGAGTCATGCCTTTTATTTGAATTAAACCCAGCCCCGTCACTGGGATAAAAGCTAAAAGACAAAAAAAAAAAAAGCAACAGTGGGAGTAACTGAATGAAGACCCGCCGTTGTATCCCCCCCGACGTGAGCAGGCAGAAGGAGAAGCCAGCGGAAGGAAGGGTTTTCCGTGTCTGGGAGAAGGTGGTGACGCTGAAGATGACCCCGA